ATCAACATGCTTCATAACAAAAAATTCCAACTTGTCAGTAAAGAAAAAGAAAACAAAAATAAAACTTTTACCATCACTCGGGGCCTGCAGCAAGGAACGGTCAACTCACCACTTTTATTTAATATATTCACGGCAGGGTTACTCCAACTTTACGACCTAAATAAAAATAAAATTTCAGCTCTTGCGTTCGCAGATGACCTCATTCTGTATACAGCAGATAATAACATGAGGATCATCCAGCACAATCTTCAAGAAATTTTCGACAAAATTTGTAATTATTACCACCAATGGAAGCTGAAAGTCAACGCAAGCAAATGCGAAACGATTTTATTCAGGCAACCACATAAAAATGGAAGCTCTTTTACCAGGAAACACTGGAAAGAGTTCGCGCTGATAGACCCAGTGACACTCACACAAATCCCTCATAAAAGAAAGGTGAAATACCTAGGCATCGTACTTGACGATCTGTACAAATTTAATGACCATTTTAAAACGCAGCTAGATAAAGCAAAATCTATGTTTAGGAAACTTTACAATCTATTTTACTCGCCCCATCTAAACAGCTGAGCTAAAATCATATGTTACCTTTGTCTAATCAGACCGCTAATCACCTACAGGTGCCCGATCTGGTTCAACCTGTCTGCTTCTGCGATGGAAAAGTTAAGATTATTTGAACGAAGAGTGCTACGCGTCTGCTTAAATAAATACAAAACTGCTACTAGCAATTACGTCAAAAGGATAAATAACTTTAATATACTTTCTATGGCTCAAATTCCAAGAATCGACACGTTCATGATCTACCTTATCAGAAGTTACATTAGGAGTTCTCTGCTCAGCAAATCAAATAGCCTTATCTTCGGCCCTTACTACTACAATGATTGTTACATAGAAGTCTCTCTAGCTAATGGGTATGTGCCCCCTGAAGCGTTCTTCTACCTAGACAATAACAACTTTATAATTGACAAAGATGGTAAACATCTACTGTATCATATCAGCAGAAATAATCTTAATAAAAAAATATGTATAGAATCATTTAATGAAAGTCAATTAGTCTATTGTAGAAGCTTAACCAAAGCTGATGCTATTATCTTAAAGAACTTCAAATACTCTAAGTAAAACCGTTATATATGTATATATGTTAATATTTTCTTCAGTTTTTTTTAAGATTAAGTTTAGAATAAGCAGTTCCAAATGTAGTAAACTCTTAGTTTTTTAAATTTTTCTAAGAAGCTGTAATTCATTGTATGCATTTGCATTTTGTATCCTATAAATATAAATATAAACCTCTGTATAATGGCGAGTGTCCCAAGGGATCATTCCATTTATTGCTAAATACGTGTCATATAACAGTTAAGTTTTTGTATATGTTTAAAACTGTATAAATCATAATATTAATCAATAAACATATATTTTTCAAAAAAAAAAAAAGCGTGCTAGCCTCGGAAACAATAGGCCACTCGAGGAGCTTTAGGTTCGAATACCGGTGCGGACAGTCGGTTTTTTCCGAGTGTCATGCAGTGGGATAAGTACCCTATGAGCTCCGGCTGTCTCGGGGCGGGTTTTCCCTGGGTATACCTCTAGTGCGAACCCACTGGTATACACATCCAGGCTTTTCCTTGCACCACAGGTCTTCGGGCCTGGGCAAATGCGAGACAATAGGAGGCAGGGAGGAAAAAGGAAAGTAGGTGTAGCGGATTAGCGGAACCGATGCCATTGGCAGGGAACGTCGGCCTTACCGACGCGGAGCTGACCCCAAGGGGCTGCTCGGTGAAGCTAATTGCCTCAACCCGATGCTGCGGCAGAGAGCGTCGGCTTAACCGGCGAGGATCGTCGCTAGTGTACAGGGCGATGTATGCGGGAAGAGGCTGTACAGAGTGAAGTATGCACCGATGCGCCAGTAGGCGCAGGGAGTGTCAGCCTTAATGACATGGTTAATACCGGAGACGTTCACTCAGTGCACGCAGGAGATAGAGGTAGGGAATTGGTGCGGCAATACACCCCCACACATAGGTGGTGAGTGGGTGGCCCCGGCTTCTGGGCCAAGTAGGCTGAAGCGGTAACCAACCAGAATCTATCTATAACCAAGATGCTTGATTGAAATACCATCTGAGCTGCGATCCCTTTAGCCTTTGGTGGAATCATCAAGTGCTTTTAGCAAGATTACATACAGTACTCACACAAAACGAAACGTAACGGCCTTACCCGGATTAACTGAGTCGACGATCAGTAGCCAAATGCACCTGACGCACCTCAAGTATAAGTGCCTTAATAGTTCTAAACTATTTACATTGTTGCATCAGCTGTGCATAGAGGCCGGCCTAAAGTTGAGAAGTTACAATGAATCTGTTGTTGGTTTGCTCGCGTATCACCGAGATTTCGGAGATTCGCGTATGTGTTGTTTGCGCGTCGCACAATACTCGGCCGTATGGGCAAAACGTTAACATTGCAATGTTTACATTCTAGCAGCTGCAGCGGCACCGACCGAGTCTTGCATCACATACCAGTGAAGCCTTGATCTTGTCCGACCTGCAATAGACAACATGCGCGTTATTGTATTATGCCGGATTGAGCAATAAATATATTTCTCGAGGGTGTCACACGAAGGGCCCTAAAAAGCAGGGACCCTAAAAATGTAAAATTTCGTACGTCTGACCTTTCAGACCTCCAAATATTTGTAGGGCTGTGAAATGAATGAATTTGTAGAAAATCGTTTTTTATGATTCGAAAATTCGTAATAAAAAGCAATTTCAATATTCAATTTGTCTTATTCGTTAATTTCAAGTTTTACGGAAACGAGAGACATGCGTAGAATTTGTCTTCAGCGGAGACTAACTTTTTTGGATTCAGGACAGCTGTATCAGCGAAACAAGTAAACAATGTTGTGGCTTAGTCGAAAAAGGTCTATCAAGGTTTTAAAGTACCTATTGGAAAAGTATTTATAAATACGTATACGAATACTTTAATGTTTTATAAATCCGTAGTAGGTTTATTCATTTTTTATTTATTTATTCATCAATTTTCATGAATAATTTACAAATCAAAGAATTTGGGTTTCTCTTTTTCAACGTTTTTTTTCATATTTTTTTAGGAGGGCTTGTAGAAACAAGTCTAAGATGATAGCTAGATATGATGCCGGTCAAATTTGAACGGTCTTTGGTTTAGCGTGCTAGGCATTGAGATAACGTCCGTTCCAGGGGTCGTGGGTTCGAATCCTTGTGAGGGTATTTGGATTTTTTGTATTGTCATTCGCCGGGATGAGAACCCAATGTGCTCTAGCAGTCTTGGCGCGGGTTTTGCCTGGAGGGTGGGTGCATACCCACTACGTACATCCCCAGGTTTTCCCTTGCCTGAGCAAATGTGATACAGTAGGGAGAGGGGGGGGGGGGGTAAAATCTCTCTTACGCACGAGCTATAGGCTCCTGCAGACCACCTGAAGGAGTAATATAGAAAGAAAAAAAATTATTATGAAGTTAGGAGAAAAATGGGTAAGATGAAGTAATTTTTTATGTAATACCGTTATTTGGAGCCTGGAGCTCAGAATGGCTGTTAAAATCTGGGCATATGATTGTATGAAACTTCACGTTGCAGATGTTGGTTGTAACCGTTCGCCCTCGGGATGCAAGCGAATGATCCGGCGAAACCTTGCGGTGCTGTAAACGGAATAAAACGGGGTGTCGAAATAACTCACTCGATCATGTAAGATGGTAACAACATAACAAGGCTTAATTTATTATTGGAAAAGGCGCCAGTCACGAGTGTGACGCCTGATTATATCTATTACATTCAATAAATCGATGATTACAGTTATTGGGGCTTCAACACGCAATTGACATATAAGTTTACTCCGGTACAATGTACACACGCGATTAGGCCACCTCGGCTAGAGCGGCAGACACGGCGGTCGTGAGTTTGGGCTACGTGGGGACGATGTCGAGAGAGATCGAGCGTAACGAACAGAATAGGTATGGCGCATTACGCGAGAGAGATATAGGCGACTTACATTCGCTGACGATGGTGGTTGGTGGATACTGCAGGCCGAATGTGACTGTGAAGAAGCTAGGGCCGACGAGAGGAGAGCCAGGTCACACAGTTCCTCCAGGAGTAGCTCGTACGGACACGCACTCGCACTCAACGCAGAACCAGGCTACAATATATGCGTCGCTACGCACGGACCAGCACAGAGTGATCCCGCTGTCTCTCACACGTAGACCCGTCAGTCAGATCAGGCCTCCCTCCTATGACAGCTTTTCGTCTGCTCTCTCATTAGGCGCGCGAATCTTACGCACGGGTCGCGCGTCTCTCGCTACAAATTCGGCGCTTTGTGAACGGCGCCGATCCAAGTTACATCGGGCTCGCGATACTCATACGTCTCTCTCGACACGGATCAGGATTAGGATACAAGGAAGGAATACCGCCGGACTCTGTACTGGCGTCCACTTCCTTACATGGTATTATTATTAATTCGGTATTTAGTGCAAGAAGGCATACTTGCAAAACAAACACTCAATTTCAATATATTTATAACTAAGGATGATCGCGAACTTAAAAGTATCTCAGAATTTTCCGAAATAATTTATTTATTTTCTTGAAAATGCGAAACAGTAGGGAGAGGGAGGTTAGTAAAAATCTTACCTGCGCACGGGCTGCCATATAGCCTCCTGCAGGACTTCTCAGGAAATGAAAGAGGAAGAAAAAAAAAATTCGGGAAAAAAGATTTTCCAAAAGCGTCAGGAAACAATCTTAAGAATTTGGGAATATTATTTGATCAATTATGAGATATTTTTTTCTTTTCTTTTAAACTCAATGGTTTTCCATATAAATAAAGCTAGCAAATTTTTACTTACAAACATAAATTTTTTTCTTGTGCATTTTGCAAAGAAATTACCGAAATTAGTTTCATTCCATTTTGTAGATTCAATAATTAGATATCTAGCAATCCATGTTAAAAAATTCGTCTACAAAATATTTCACATATTTTTTTAATGATTTATATTTTTTAGGGAGATACTTCGACAGATCATGTTGGGCCACCAATTGCTAGCTGTTGCATAAAACTAGTAGATGTACCTGAAATGGAGTACTTTTCTATTAACAACCAGGGTGAAATTTGTGTTAAGGGAGTGAACGTTTTTATAGGGTACTTTAAAGACCCTGAAAAAACTGCTGAAACTATCGATGCCTTAGGATGGCATCATACAGGAGATATTGGAATGTGGCTTAACGTAAGAACATACTATGATTAATAAAACGTTGTTTTCATGCCATGCCAGCCGAAACTAACCTTTTTTTGTCCTGACGACCAAAACGAAACAGTTAATTACTGTTGTAGGATTCGTGAAAAATAGTAAACGCACCTATGAAGCGAAAACCTGGAAAGCCTAAGAGAACTTACAATTATCAATGTCAAACATGTGTAAACAGTTTTTCGCTCCTAAGGCATGTAATATACTATTTGAAAATTCTTTATAACAAAACCTCACGAAAAATATTTCCAATTTTGACACTAAAAAATGCACATATAAAAAAATATTTAAAAAGATTGTTTGAATGAAATTTAAAGGCCAAAAACTTCAAACCTGCCGATAATTTAAAATTGCCTGTGTGGATAGGTGAGAATTAATCAATATTAATGGAATTCGAATAATAAAGCAAACTTTCAAAATGTTTTTTACGAATCTTATTACCTCAACAGGCTATTATCCTTCAACAGGCTATGAAGAAACACATCTCTTCGAATTCTTGAACGAACTATTGCCTTACTCCAAAACGTTTAGATACGTGCATCCCCACTTTGCTCACATCGACAGTAGCTTAAGATTCACTGCCATAAAAACAATGACCTGGACACTTCACTCTCGGATTTCACCAGAGTCAGAACTCTCAGAAGCTTGGCCCAAGGACTTTTTTATATAAAAAATTTATTTATTACAAATCCTTAATAACTTTCTCTTGAGTAACTTACCTTCACTACACATCAAAGAGACAAGTCTACGTCAGAACGAGAAATCGTCATCGCTCGTATTATGCTACGGTATCATGTATTGAGATGATAGGCGAGGAAGATGGTGTGTTTTCCCCTACTCCTTCTTTATTTTTTCTTTCGTCGTTATCCGCGATCTCGTCATTATTACGTCCCTCTTTTGTTCTTTGCCACCGGTGGCTTCGTCTTGTTGTACGAGAGATGTGTTTGTGTTCGTATTTTCTTGGTTCTTTTTTCTCAGGCGATTTATTGAATACGAAATGGATAAGTTACTTTGCATAGTACGATTCAGTGCTCACACTCTATTATATTGTGGTAGTTCGACCGCAAAACTCTATTGCAGAATATCGAGATGGAGGCTATCACTCAAATTAGTAGCTGTAGCTGAGTACTTGCTGCGAGTTTCCGTGGTTCTGGCTAGTAGCGTACAAGTAACTTGACAATCAGCAAGTAAAAAAAAGAAAAGCTAATTACTGGAAGTTAACGAATTTAAATTAAATAGCTGACTCGACTTCGAGATTTAAAAAAAAGAATGTGTAATTTATAAAGCAAATAGTTAAGTTTCAACTTACAAGGAGACCTTCTCACCTTCGGGTCATGGATTTGGCCCAAACTTTTTTTGGTGATTCAGGACAGTTAGAAAACATGCCCTGTTATGTTAGTTTATGTGAATATGCCCCAGAAGCCTTAGATAAAAAATAAAGGTCCAAATAATAAAAATAAGAGTATATAGTGCAATAAATATTCATTTCCTATCCTCAAACTATTTTTGTCACTTATTTTAAACACCTGGTTTTTGAAAACATTACATTTCATTGTTAAGAAGTTGTTGGATCTCACTCATGACACAAAACATTGCAATATTGCTTAATTTATGACATTATAAAGCGCTTAATTTCAATTAAAACCTTTTCAAGATTTTCAAGAAAAGATTTTAACTTTATATATGATTATTTTTAAATGGAAAATTTATGCACAAAATTGCACTTTTGCGCGTTAATGGGTTAATGGGATGTGTTTTTTCATAAGCACCATCAAAATACTTACTTCAAAACGTACACAGTTGATTTTCACACTTAAATTTTGTTGTCACGAAATTTCTGTTTGAAAAAATAATATTACATTTTCTCCTCTACTAATATATTTCCAATGTCAATGAATTCAACGAAAATTTCTTATACTTAATATATTTACAGAATGGAACATTAAAAATAATTGACCGTAAAAAACATAGTTTTAAACTTTCACAAGGGGAATATATTTTGCCTGAAAAAATAGAAAATACGTATTTGAAAAGTCAATACGTTCATCAAATTTTCGTACACGGAGAATCATTGAAATCATTCATAGTTGCTATAGTCGTTCCAAACGTTGATGTGCTCAAAACTTGGGCGGCAACTAATAATATAAATGGCACATTGAGCGTTCTTTGTTCAAGAGTAGAAATAAAAAAGCTCATACTAGATGATATTCTATTGCAAGGATCGAATGATAAACTGAAACCATTTGAACAGGTAAGACTTGCTGAACATCATAAACTTTTTCAATCTAAATCAAAAGCATGTAAATTGTATCCAACATAAGTAGATAATATTTAGTCTTGGACCATGTTTTGGACCTTGAAAAGACTTTGCGCATACCAATTATTTTTGTAAAATGTAATGCCCTTTCAGAATTCAGGCTCAAATTCAAGATTTGATGCTTCGTAAAAAAGTTATGATAGTTTAAACAAAAAGAACGTAAAATTTTGTGCAAAAAATCAACTTTGATCATTTTTTTCGACCTGTTGCGGTGAAATACTTAAGACATGAATATGATCAAAGGTGATCATGGGTTGAAAGTAAGTCAGAGGAGTTTTCAGATTTTTCGAACCACTTTTTCTAACAAAATGGCGACTATAAAGTAAACTATTCATGCATAAGATCATGCGCAAGAAAATGCATGTACGATTTAGAACGAAAACTCGAAACCATTGAGTTTAGAGAAAAAGTTTATAGAATCAAAAAGTCTTAGAATTTGAGAATTTTTCTTGATCTATTCTTAAAGTTTTTTTATAAACATTTTCCCTCAAGGCCACCATGTTGTTAGAAAAAAAGGTTGGAAAATTTTTTAAAAATTCTCTAAGGAATTTATACACCTATGATCACTCTTGATCATATTTAAGTGGGGATACCCCTCTCTTCGCCCTGCTGGTGGCGACTCTGCTGGCGCTGAGCGGTGGTTAGTTCATTGTAGCTTGTACCTCGAGCAGAGCAACAAGCGAATAAACCTATACTCCAATTAATTCTCTCTCTCGCTATCTGAACTCGTGACTTTTTGATTTACTCGTGACTTTTTGATCAACGTGTTCATCACGTCGGGGTCAACACTGTTAGCTTACGAGGGCTAACTTCCTCGGGAATGGAACGGAGAGGGAATCGAATGAGCGAGAGAGAGAATTAATTGGAGTATAGGTTTATTCGCTTGTTGCTCTCTTCGAGGTACGAGCTGCACTGAACTTGCCACCGCTCAGCGTCAGCAAAATCGCCACCAGCGGGGCGAGAAGAGGGGTATCCCCACATTTATATCTTAAATTTTTTACCGCAGCAGGTCGAAAAAAATTATTTAAGTTGATGTTTTGCACAAAATTTTACGTTTTCTTTGTTTAAACAATCATAACTTTTTTACATAGTATCAAATCTCAACTTTGAGCCCGGATTTTGATAAAGCATTAAATTATACATGTACGCGCGAAGTCTTTTTAAGGTCCAAAACAGAGAAAACAAACAACACTTTGGGCGTTAATGAGTTAATCTCATAATAAAATCACGATGTACGTCAGTTTATAAATTATTTTAATTTACCTATATAGAAACTAGCTAGTCTCAGACATGTAAACCTGAAGTTTTGAATGACGTTTTTAAACCTTCAAAAATATATCGAGACCTGTTTCGGTTATATTTCATAACAAGCATGAAGTATTTTTTCATGCCTCTAGATTTGAAGATCCACAATGCACCGCTACAATCCATATCCTCGTGCATTCCACTTAGAATGTGTTTGTGATTAGCTATAATCAGGATATCAAATTGTTCAATTTTATTTCAAACCAGATTATTTCTTTAATATACAAATGTCATGATTTACTTCGAGCTTCTGATTCTGATTTATACTTCCTATAAGTCCTTTAGTTAGTGTCACGGTATTCGCGTGCCATTTGCCACATTAAATTTTTTGTAGCGGCGAGCTCACGCAGGTATCAGGCAGATCTCTGCGCGGTAAGTAAGATAAGTTCAACTGTAAGGTGAAGTACTAATAATACTCGAACTTAACGGCCTACTTGTCCGATTAATTATTTCATCACCTTGTCTCACTCCGTTTCTCAAGTAGTTGAAGTTGAACCTTAATCGCGACCCCTGTGACATACTTAATAATTGAATTTTCCGAAAACAATATTACATGTAAAAACACCATAAAAATAATTTTTATTAAAATTATTTAGTACAAATTACGCTAGATAAATATTCATTTCGTTCCAGCAGTTTGAAAGTGACTATTTTCCTGGCATTACAGAAAAAGCAATTTTCTAGCTACTGGGTAAAAAAGCATGTGTAAAAGGCTCGGTCCGGGGAAACCAGATAATTACCAGCTTAGGGAAGTAATTATGCTGAGCACAGCGAAGTCATTTCTGCATGAACTCCCATGAATTTCCAATGGTTTTTTGTAACGCGGTATCGCCAGTACTGCTTGGTCAATCGTTTTGAAAATTTTGGGAGTTGATAAGGGAAGCTAGGTTAAGTTCTAATGACGTTGATAACCTTGATTGCTTAACTCCTTATGCACTTTTATGCAGTTTCAACCTATTAAGTCTGGGATGGACACATTTTTGAAACTTTTTTGAATCGTTGTACTTTTGCTGAAAATGGGGTCTGGAAAACTTGTGATTAAGCTAATTTTAAGCAAAATCTAATGATCTTTCCGAATCTGGTGTCAGATTTTCAATATAACAAACAAGTCAAAAGTTATAGATGGTTTTATCAAAAAAAACGTGATTTCGAAAAAAAATTTTTTTCGAATTTCCACATGGAAATCTTCTAAATCCTGGCGTCTTCGGTACAAATAAAGCGTCCATGGGTCCTTCTCTTAAAGTTATGATGGTTCCGATTAGTAAAATATGATTTTGAGTACAAAAAATGGCGACTGGAAAACGAAATATATGAGGAAATTTTTGAAATTTTTAACTCAAAAATGATGGATTTAAAGAAAAAAATTTACTGACTAATGAGTTCTTTGATAAATTCTAAGAATCCATCGTTTTTGAGTTGATATTTCAAAAATTTCCTCATATGTTTTCGTTTTTCAGTCGCCATTTTTTGTACTTAAAATCATATTTCACTAATCGGAACCATCATAACTTTAAGAGAAGGATCTATGGACGCTTTATTTGTACTCAAGACGCCAGGATTTAAAAGATTTTCGTGTGAAAATTTGAAAGGAAAAATTTTTTTTTCGAAATCACGTTTTTTTTGGATAAAACCATCCATAACTTTTGACTTGTATGTTACATCGAAAATCTGACACCGTATTCTCCAGACCCCATGTTCAGCAAAATTACAACGGTTCAAAAAAGGATAAAAAATGTGTCCGTCCCGGACTTAAGGGTTAATGCATTTTTTCCAATATTGCGAGAATTCGGTCAAATTCGACGGGAAATTTTTTATAATCAGTCTTGGACCGTGAATGTAATTCTCGTCGTATAATTGTTTTTGTTTATGCATTGAAATGCTTTTATGCAATTTATATGCATTTTTTCCTTTGAACAATACATTTTTCCAAAAAATGATATTTTTACATTACATAAAACCCCTTGGGTTATTTTGGATAGAAATGGAGCCCCTTAGGTTATTTGGAAAAAAATCTATTGATATTCTTTTTTCTATATATATCTTATTATAGGATATACTACTATAGTACCCACCGTGTAAGAAACCTGCTTTTAATGTCGAAGAAAAGTAATTTAGAAAATGCATTGATAAAGAATAAATTAAATGATAGCAGCGCACATTAATAATAATTATTGATTATCATTCGGTATGCTTGTGAAGAAATTGTCATATTATTTCTAAGTTTTTATCCCAAACTTAACGCTTTTAAAAATACTCGAAAGGATGTTACTCGCTAGTTAAAAATATAGTTCTAATCATATTGTGAACGAGATGTATGCATCTGTCGGTAACTGGGTTGTTATAATAGGGTTGTATTTTGAATTTGTTCAGCATTCTGCAACTGAAAATGCCACTAGTATACTATTGAAATCTACTCCAATCATAAGGTTGATGCAGTAGTGCAAGTAACTTTAACGAAATAATTTTCCTTGAAGTTTATGAAACAAATAATAGTAGATCTTATAACATGAATGATTTGTAATAAATTCACTTTTTTCAGGTAAAAGATATATATCTACACCCTGATCCATTCTCGGTCCAAAATGGTCTTTTAACAACTGCACATAAAATGAAAAGACTTCAACTCAGAGCTTATTTCAAACCACAGCTTGAAGATCTTTATCAACAATCAAAAAAAGAAAGTCATTGAATAAATTATTTTAAATGTAAAATTTTAAGTGATTGATAAATTGAGTGCATAATTTTTAAAGCTATTATTTAATCCCTATATATTTTTATGCTCATCTTATAGATTTTATGATATACGTCCAAGTAATGAATTAAAACGTAGCGAAAATTTTTTTTCGGAGATTTAATGTTTTATACCAAGATTCATGGCCATGAACACAATATGAATAATTCAAGAATATATTTTTAATAATTTAAACTAGTTCTAGACGGGACTTTTTTGATCCAATATAATTCTCTTCGCGCTCGAGCCATAAACCATGCCACGGCAAAAAATATTATTTATGGCACTTGCTTCAGGATAATAATATATGCAACGGGTGTGGATATGCCTCTTCTGAAAAACGGGTGATTACAGCACGTGTGTCAAGTTTTGACAATATGATGTTTTTGGATTTTAGGGTGAGCCTAAAGGTGAGATACTACTTTTATTCGTACACAGAGAGAAATACTATATTAAATATCAACACATGCGCAAGCAAATATTACTATGTTCTCTAGAAAAAGAGCCCCAGAGCCGATATGTATTAATATTTCATAAGTAACATAGTAATTTTTAATGCAATATGTGGTATTTTTTATATTGGTTTTATTATAGAAAAATAATCATTTTCTTGAATGGCTTCCCGAGATGATTTTTCGATTCTATGTGAGCTCAAAGCATTCGACCTAACCCTGTATTCTGCGATCATGGAATTATTCTATTCGCCGATATTTACAAACAAACATTTGCTTGCCTCTGAAAACAAACCTACCTAACTGTCGTGTATCCATGTTAGTGCAGTTCGAATTCTAACCTTATTCTAGCTATCTATACATATCGCGCGTATATCGACGTGCTAGTGCTGAAAGATGCCGCGTCGCAGAGCAGAGCAGAAAGATGCCATGTGGCGCTCCGGGCAGAAAGATGCCATTTCGTGCTCCGAGCTGAAAGATGCCACTTCGGTGCTCAGAATTTCTGCGTTTGAAGCTTCAATTTTAACTATTATCTTCATTCCAACGACAGATTCGGGAAGAGCATTCAATTTTACTTCTAATACATGAAACATTAATATGGTGTAACTTCAAACGCAGAAAAAACTATCCTTCAGAACCGAGCGCCGAAGTGGCATCTTTCAGCTCGAACGCGAAATGGCTTCTTTTTGCCTGGAGCGCGACATGGCATCTTTCTGCTCTGCTCTGCGAAGCGGCATCTTTCAGCACTGGCACGTCGATTTTATGTATTCGAAATTTTTTGCATATGGGTGTCAACCACGATAATCAAAAAATGAAATTGAAACAAAGTATGTACTTTTGAGAAGTATATTCAAAAATGAAAATCCTGAAATTTTCAGACCTCTGGGTCCATCCCTCATGAATCTACAGGGTTTCAAAGTTGAAATTTTATTTGTCAAAAAATTATTGAAACATGATTTTTTAAGTAAAATTTGATATTGGACTAATCGCTGCAAACGAACACATTTATTTTTTGTCATTCATTCTTTATTACATTTTTAATGGGTCTTAAGGACGTTGGGGTCGCAACCGAGTTCTAATCAGCAACTATCAAGAAACAGCGGAAGGTAGATACTTGATTTGACTAGGTGGGTCGATGGTATCATAGGCTCAAAGCCAATACATATGCTATCACGCGTATTTTTGTCTGCTTTTGTTGTCTGCTTGAAATTAAATTATACAAAAATTTATTCGACAATCGATGCTAAAATTTCGGGAGAACATTATGAGTGTTATTAACTATCAAATTCCGAAGTACCAACATGGTGGCCCAACTTGACCTAAAGGTCCCCAACGTCCTTAAGGTGATAATCATGATGTTTGACAACAATCTGAATGCCTCATCAAATATTGCATTGAAGATCATGTTTCAATAATTTTTTCATATTCATCATCAGAAATCAGAATAAAATTTGATAAACCAAATTCCAACTTAAAGACGCTGTAGATCCATGAAGGATGGACCTGAAGTTCTGAAAATTTAAGGATTTTCATTTTTCAATGTGCTTTTTAAAAGTACATTTTTTGTTTCAATTTCATTTTTTTGGTTATCATGGTTGACCGTGATATAGCCCATATATACCAATCCAACATTTTTTCTGCCGCCTGCGGAAATTGATCATACTCTATCTGTTGATAAAATTGAAAATCTTTGATAATGATAAAAATTGTTACTATGCAAAATAATTTTTGAATTATTCACCCTCACATTTTCTCATAATCTGTAGTAAAATTTGCTGCATGTCAAGTTTTACTATGTCACATAGTAATTTTAAAATATCTTATAAATATTTTTGAAGTACAAAGTTACAAAAATAACTCAATATTATAGTAATATTTAGCATGTACATAGTAGAAAACGCCCATAATTTGACTTTGGGGCACTTGTTCTAGCGAATATAGTAAAAGTTGCTAAAGAATATGTTAGCAGTATTTTTCTCCGTGTAGATTTAAGCAAAATTTTAAAATTAGGGAGCAGCGTTTTATGTGACTTTGGGAGACAGTGACACCTTACTGGATCCTCTAATATGTAAGAGAATTTCTCATTCAAAAACAGAGTTACATTTTTCCGGTTGAAATTTATATTAGTAATGTTTTTTATGTAGTTAAAAACCGCCTTTAGTTTTATTGCTAACGATAAGGAATTCAAGAAAAGTGTGATAAATAATTGGAAATAAAATTGGTTTATAAATCATTTTGTATTAGATTATTACAAATATCAGAGGACTTGATTTAGAATAGCATAAAATACTTCATTTGTGGTGTCACAATACTACACATATAACTTTTTAAGTAAATTATTTTGAGCATGAATGTCTATATAATTATTATTTAATATTGATGCGTGGTTATGGTATTTTATCCTTACGTTCGAATACTACACTTATTGAGAATGTCAATGATTATAACAATCACATCGACATAAACTGAAAACGAAGATAAATAATTATATCAAAAACTGTTTTAAGCTAGCATGATATATTTTAAATTTAATTCCATATGCGTAAAAATGAGTCCCATGATCCGGTAGCTACCGCCATTCCATCTTCTGTTACTCCAAGACATGAAACTCGATTGTCGTGACCAGCTAAAATCCCTGGAATTAAAAATGTTTGTTAAAAATTATTTTTAATTGTAAATACTTCATGACCTACACTACGAAGTTTGATAATTATTTTAAATTGCATAAATAACAAGATTAGTAAAAAATTTTACAATAACTATCCTCACATAATATAACGAAATCGGTAAGTTTTATTAATTATAAATTTTCACACGTTGCATGTACTATACATATTAATAGAACTAGCGAATAAGCAGTACTCTGCTACTTGAACGTATAATAAAGTGAAATTGATTCATGAAATAAGATTAAAAATGAATATAAATTCTAAAATAACTATAATATAAGTAGCTTAGGTTCATGTTATGCTTGGCTTGAGATTGCAATCATGGCAAATTGTCTATGGAACATAATGAGAAGTTACAGTACTATTTAGATTTATCTGATAACTTGGAATTCTAGGATGGAAAGCTTAGATGTGTAAAATGGTTACGTAGAAGTGTATTTAACTATTTTTCAGTATCAAACTAAACAAAGTACTTTCAAAGCAGGTATTAAAATTACTTTTAGAGTCTAATTCAGTAATTGAGAAATTAAAACCATTTAAACCCCCTTTTAACTTTTAATTTTATGATTTCTTGTTTAATAATATTTTTATGCTTTTGCTGTTATTTTGTAAAAAACAATTTTCGTTGTCTAACCAGACGTAGGTTTTTTTACTCGACCATAATTTTGAGCATAGCACCAGAGGGAAATAAGATTTCAGATCGAAATAGGTTCTTTACGAAACTTTTTCAAGGTAGATAAAATGGGAAAAAATCGCGTTGGAAGTCGGCAACAGATCGTCCTCAATGGGTTAATCAGATTATCGATTAAATATAAAAATTTCAATGACCTCATTTTCAATTTACCTATAGGCTTTAATAAGTCAAATATTATTGTTTTGTTTTTGTTTTAGACAATTGTTTTAAAAATTTCAATAATAATTGTATTAGGCTATTAGGACCCCCCTAGCGCTCGGGCCCTAAATTACGCCGTGCCAAAAAGTGTTACTTATGCCACTAGTATCGTAAAGTACTAAAAGATACTCAAGACATAATTGCGAATGGATAAAGCTTTTTGAAAATATAATTTTACATTTAAAACTAAAAATTTCTTCATTAAAATTTAATTTTCATATTTTTTAATGTACGGAATTTATTACAGGTATGTTCCATTGATGATTTTTTCAAATTTTTTGAATATTTTTCTGAATATTTCATGTTCCATGCGTCTTTTAAAATTACTGAAAAATGTAATAGTCTCCGCTAAAATAATTAAAATGTACGAGAAAAGCTCCGTTAACAGAGGTGTTCGCTATTGAGAAGTGTTTTAGTCCACTTTTAAAAAGAACTCGTCCTATAAGAAACAATACATTTCTGCCGAGACCACAAGAATTCTCCACTATTGGTAGCTGTCCGTCAAGGAAAGTTTACTGTATAAGGAACCCGGTTACCAACTAGAATTTTGGGGAAAGTAAAAATATTTATTTCATATTGACTTACAATAATTGTTAATAAGGAATAACTCTCTCCCTAAAAAACGAATTATTGACTTTCCTACGGTGCGTTTCGAATTTTTATCATCAGGATGATTTATAATTGATTTGCGAATGCTCCTCTGACTAAACATACTAAAACACGACAAAAACATATTTTTTCTTTTTTTTCTCGCTATATATCTCACTAACATCAAGCAACCCCTTTTGGAAAATATCTGTTTAAATTGTAAATTTCCTGATCTTCCGATCTAGATAATTTACAAAAATCCTAAAAATGAAGTTTTTGAGATCATCGACTTAACAGTTTTGCTAAGTGAGACGGAAAATTTCGGAAAATCTGACCTCACCATCGAAAAACGGAGGCAATTTTTCATCGAAATGATGCGTTAGTCTTTTCCTATAGGTGCATTTAGATATTTTTACAGTGAGCTAAGAATTGAGCAATTCGAACGAATAATGTCACGCGGTGCGGCACTAGAAGAGTTTACATGATTATGTCACATATATAATGTATATTTTTGGTCGGGATTTCAGTTCTTAATCATGTTTTACCTCACAAAACTAATTTTTAATGTGTTATTATTTACTTTAATAAGAATTTCAAAAAGGTTCAATTTGAAAAAAGTATTCATAAGGCATTAATGAACAATTACATAAAAATTTTTTCACTTACCGGCGCGTTCAGTTTTCATTGAGTCCCAAACATTGCAATTGAAATCGTCATACCCAGCTAGAAGCAAACGGCCGCTTTTACTAAAAGCTACGCTTGTTATACCACAAATGATGTTGTCATGACTATACATAGCCAATTCTTGGTCAGCTCTAATGTCGAACAGTCTACAAGTAGCATCATCAGATCCTGTTGCGAAAGCAAATCCATTTGGAAAGAACTAAAATTTAAAAATTTTAATAAGCCATCTATTTTATTTCTCTATATCCAATAAATTTATGAAAAAAAAAAAATCAATATATTTGATGAAAAAACGAACATCAGTTCGATTGTCCGAACAAATGTTCAATTCCAAACTATATAATTTTGATTGCCTAATGTGATAATTTTTTGATAAGTAAAAAGTAAATAATGATAAAAAGTAATATGAAGAATACAATGAAAACTTCTATAATAATGATCAAATTATAGAGATAAAACCAGAAAATTGAAAAAAAAAGAACAGGTAAAAACTTATTTTTTATTGGTAAATAAGAGTTTATGATAATTCTGCTTTTCTTAATGCAATATCCCATTTAAGTTATCACACTTTTACGCCTCGGCTCATTAATTGTGAATCATTGTATTTTCATAAAGTCAGACTTTCTCGCAGCCTTTAAATCCAACGGAAAACCGTTTTTCCAACGGGAGGCGGTTAATCGATGAAACAGCCATATGGAGACAATTCTATAGATATTAAACTGGAAGCAAAAAAATTTTTTTCATTTTGCCCGAACTAAACGGAAAAGTGATCTAGGGTAAATGTACCCTTTACCGGGGGTGCGGATTACCGTGGATTGTATTTAGTAGTCACGTAGGTCAAATCATCCCCAAAATATTCCTGTTTGTTCATCTGATGGAACTGTATTAACTGCGGAAAAAACCAGGTGTTTTACGGAGGATCATTTCACTTTTAATTCATTTAAATATATTCAGTCTCCATGACTTTGAGTGGCGCTGCTGAGGGAGTAACACGTATTTTGCGTAGCTCTGAGAACGCAGTGAAAAAAACACGAAATTTTGAGTTTTTTAGAGAGGATAAGAAAATAAGATAATTAGTAAAGAAGGAAGAAAGGAATAATAAAGCGAAGAAAAGAAGTTTGAGAGGTGAAAAGGTGAATATAAGAAAAAAGTGAAAAAAAGGCGATAGATTGAGGTTAAGGTCAGGATGGCGGGAGTCGGAGACAAAGGAATCGTGAAGAGTCAAGATAAAACAGGAAAGGGAGATGAAGAGAAAATCAGTACGAGAAGTCGTGGATTGAAAAGCGAAACGATTAAGAGAAGCACGACGCAGCCTTTGATTGTGGATAGCATGAGGAGGAAAGCGGTGACTTATTCCACAAACGCGAAGGAGAGGATTCTGAGCGGAGGTAAGGTAGGAAATAATGGCGATAATAGTAATGGCAATATGCAAGAAAAAGTATTAGAAAGTGACAGTAAAAATAATAATAAAGAGGAGGATGAAGGTGAAATGGCACGAATGTACGAGAAGATGATGACTTTGACGGAGCAAGTGGAGGTCTTGATGGAGAAGAGGAAAGAAGATGAGGTGATGTACGAAGACTTGATGTGCAAGAATGAGGCTTTAACGAACAAGGTGAAGAAATTAGGATATAGAGTGGAGTGATTCGAAAATAAAGTGGTAGGTTTAGAAAAGAAGATGACTGAATATGAAGAAGAAGTAAGAGATTATAAGGAAGTTGTGGTAGACCTATTAAACGAGAAAGCAGAGGAAGGAAGTGTAAATGACGTAGCCAGCGGAAAGAATGTGGCCAGCTCGTGGAGGTCCAAATTAAGTGTAAAGAGCAGCACAAGCTACCTTAGTGGAATTTGTTTGTCGCAGAAAGAAGTAGTGAAAATGAAAAGGTTAGTGAGTGAGAAGGGTAGAGATGAGTGTAGGCTCAATATAGTAATAAAAGGTCTTGGAAACATAGGTAAAAAGACAAAGGAAAAGATTGAGAAGTTTTTGAAGGAAAAGTTGGCAATTGAGGCAGGACTAGAAGTAGCGTGGAGAAGTGGACAAGTTGTGGTTGGAAAATGTACAAGTTATGAGCAAAAGGAAATGATTATGAAGAACAAGGCAAGGCTGGCTGGTATTTATTTATATATTAGGGTGGGCCGTTTTTAGGTTTTTTTCTAGAATCGATTTGTAATAGTGATTTTCTGTTAGTTTCATGTATAAAATGAAAGCTCGTTCAAGGCAGGCGAGTACAAATGATTTTTTCTGTCTCCTCAATGTCGATCAATATTTTTTTCGCTGTTTTTTGCTCAAATTCGCCTTTTTTCCCTCTTCCACGCGCCAAAAATGAAAAAATGATATTTTACGATTCTAAACTCCGCGATTCATCAACTTATAGGCTAATAAACATGTTTCAACCACCACCTGAGCTCAGAATTAAGATATGGAACCACGTAATGCGTATACAGCCGGGATTTTGGCTGTTTTTTACCCATTTTACCCGATTTTCGACTACATGGTCGAGGTCGATTTTTCAATTCAACAACATCGCCCGCGGTCTCTTTCTTTTCTTTGAGATAAGTTCTTACAAGAAAAATATCTACTGAGATGATTTTTAAAGCAGGAAAAATTTGGCGCGCTCGAAGCAAATTGGATTTTTATGAATTTCTTTAAAAAATGGATTGTTTCAACGTGTACGTGGAGTTTATTTATTGTGTTATCTCAATACAAAGTGCATCGTCAAAAAGTACTCTTTTCAACTAGAAATTTAAAAAAAAAGAGTTCTCTACGATCATTTTAGCGTCCTGTAAGTCGTTTTGAAGATACCATTAATCAAATGCCACGTTTAGCTAAAATCGACGCGATGTGAGGCATCTTACGTATACATTCTATGGTATCTTCAAAACGACCTACAGGACGCTAAAATGATCGTAAAGAACTCTTTTTTTTTAAATTTTTCGTTGAAAAGAGTAATTTTTGACGATGCACTTTGCATTGAGATAACACAATAAATAAACTCCACGTACACGTTGAAACAATCCATTTTTTAAAGAAATTCACAAAAATCCGATTTGCTTCGAGCGCGCCAAATTTTTCCTGCTTTAAAAATCATCTCAGTGGATATTTTTCTTGTTAGTACTTATCTCAAAGAAAAGAAAGAGACCGCAGGCGATGGTGTTGAATTGAACAATCGGCCTCGACCATGTAGTCGAAAATCGGATAAAATGGGTAAAAAACAGCCAAAATCCCGGCTGCATACGCATTACGTAGTTCCATATCTTGATTCTGAGCTCAGGTGGTGGTTGCAACATGTTTATTAGCCTATAAGTTGATGAATCGTGGAGTTTAGAATCGCAAAACATCACTTTTCCATTTTTGCCGCGTGGTAGACTGAAAAAAGGCGAATTTGAGCAAAAAGCAGTGAAAAAAATATTGATCGACGTTGAGGAGACAGAAAGAATCATTCGTACGCGCCTGCCTTGAACTAGCTTTCATTTTGTACATGAAACTAACAGAAAATCACTATTACAAATCGATTCTAGAAAAAAGACTAAAAACTGCCCACCCTAATATATATATATGGGCTATATCGCGTCAACTGTCCCCCCCCCCTTTTTGTTTTGATTTTTTATATTTTATTCTGCTTCCCAAAGGTGAAAGAAACATGGTTTTTCTCTAATTTTCCTGGATTTTTGACTCATATTAAGCTCAATAATGAATTGTTTGTCTGCCAAGAACCAAAATTTATCAGAAGTTGTAATCTGATGTATCGATGAACATATTACAATATGGGCCTAATCGAAGGATACGAACACATTTATTTTAGTACAGTTATATGACTAATGTAGGAAAATATCATTTTTATGTGGTTTCAAGTTGTAAATATGATTTTTAAGTACAAATTTGAATTCTACATCAAATTTAACATTCAAAAGCATGATTCAACAATTTTTTCATATTAACCTAAGAAAATCAGAATTGCAAGCAGAATATCAGCAGAAAAAGAAAATTCAACTTCAAGACCCTGAAAATCCAATAAGGTTGGACCTAGAGGGCTGAAACTTTCAGGATTTTCACTTTTCAATGTACTCTTTAAAAGTACATAATTTGAGAAAAAAATTTTTTTGACCATCACGCTAACTATGGCTTAGCCCATATATTCAGTCTCCATTGATCCAAAAAAGTGGAAAAAGTTGTAAAATGCAGTTTACGTTTAGACCTCATTTTATTGATTACACAGGCACACAAAAAAAAAATGCTCAGTTCCAGAGACCGGACCCAATGGACTTTATGTTTTTGGGGTCGCTGATACCGAATCCGTCGTCGGTTTTTCGCCATCAGATCGATTCAAGGTCATTTGAAGGTCAAACTTAGAAAATTCGATATAAAAATCGGAAAAATATATTTTTTATGTTTTGAGGGTCGCTGAATTCGAATTCAAGGTCATTTTGACTAAATTTAGACATCTACAGATTATTGAAAGGTCATTACGATTTTACCTTCAAGATCAAGGTTAAGTTAATGAAAAGAAGGCAAAACTTGATGAAATATTGTTAATTTCGTATGCCTTTTTACTTTTTCTTTTGTAACGCCCCTTGTTTTCTTCAAACGATCGGCATAAAGGTTGCCGTTTGAGTTTATTTCCTCCATGTTGGCCCCCCTCCCATCAGTAGGACAGCAATCTGGATTTACAAAGTACCCATGTTTCAAGTGCTAATGGGACAGTAGAGATCGTAAAGAACATTATACTGATTACAATTAGTCTGAGAGAAATTCTCTAGAACCTAGACATCATAATGTTATTAATAGTCCGTTATAATAGACCCTAAAAATGTTTTACTACCTCCTTTACATATCAAATTGGGCATTATGAAACAATTTGTAAAAGCTTTGAGTGAAAGCGATGAATGCTACAAATATTTAGAATCTAAATTTTCCTATAAATCTGATGCCAAATTAAAAGAAGGAATATTCGATGGAACAGAAATAAAAAATTGCTGAAAGATTACAATTTTCCAACTAAGATGACTTAAATTCAGAAAGCTGCAGGGGTTAGCTTCAAAAATGTTGTGGAAAATTTTCTAGGTAATCGCAAAAGCGATGACTGCAAAGTTTCAATATCAAAGGTAATAAACAATTTCGGTGAAATGGAATGTAATATGTCTTATAAACTGAATTTCTTGCATAACCATTCAGATGAGTTCTCGAAAAACTGTGGTAAT